CATCGGGGAGCCTCGCGGGTCCCCCTGCGGCGAGCACGACGCGCCCGAGGCCGCGGCGTGCGCGGGGGGGACGGCCGCCCGAGCGGCGGCAAGGCTACGGCAGGGGCGTTGTTCGGGGAGGGTGCCCACCTTGACCTTCCAGAGAGTTATTTTTTCCCAACCATCCTGTGGTGTTGGGTCCTCGTTTTGAAGAGACGGTGCCCCGCGTCCTCCTCTCCTCTCCTCCTCTGCCCCCTCCTCCCTCCTCCCCCTCCGCGTCACCCACACCCAATTCAGCACAACCTTCACACGTTTCGCGGCCCCATAGGAGCTCCGCCGAAGGCCCCAGCGCTGCCGCCCGCATGCGTCCCCCACACCCAATTCGGCACACCCCTCACACGTTTCGTGGCCCCATAGGAGCTCCGCCGAAGGCCCCAGTGCTGCCGCCCGCATGTCCCCCACATTCGGCCACCCCTCACACGTTTCGTGGCCCCATAGGAGCTCCGCCGAAGGCCCCAGTGCTGCCGCCCGCATGCGTCACCCACACCCAATTCGGCACACCCCTCACACGTTTCGTGGCCCCATAGGAGCTCCACCAAAGGCCCCAGTGCTGCCGCCCGCATGCGTCACCCACACCCAATTCGGCACACCCCTCACACGTTTCGTGGCCCCATAGGAGCTCCGCCGAAGGCCCCAGTGCTGCCGCCCGCATGCGTCCCCCACACCCAATTCGGCACACCCCTCACACGCTTCGTGGCCCCATAGGAGCTCCGCCGAAGGCCCCAGTGCTGCCGCCCGCATGCGTCCCCCACACCCAATTCGGCACACCCCTCACACGTTTCGTGGCCCCATAGGAGCTCCGCCGAAGGCCCCAGTGCTGCCGCCCGCATGCGTCCCCCACACCCAACTCGGCAAAACCCTCACACGCTTCGTGGCCCCATAGGAGCTCCGCCGAAGGCCCCAGCGCTGCCGCCCGCATGCGCCCACCGCACCTATTTCGGCACACCTCTCAGCGCTTCGTGGCCCCATCGGGAATTCCACCAACAGCCCCAGTGGCTGCTTTCGCATGCGCCCACCGGACGAATTTTGGCACACCCCTCACACGTTTCGTGGCCCTGTAGGGAGCTCCTCCGAATGCGGTGCGTACAACGACGGTACGCACAACTACATATGGTTGGGTCCTTCGCCCGGCTAATTAGCACTGGAGATTTAATTAGCCTGGCGAAGGACCCAACCATATGCAGTTGTCAGTACCGCAGCTGCGGGTTTCATCTTCAGTGGAACTCCCCATAGGACCACGGAACGTGTGAGGGGTGTGCCGAGATGGGTGCCACTGGGGCATTCGGTGAAGCTCCCTATGGGGACATGAAACACGCGCGGGGCGTGCCGACATGGGTGGCGGAAACGCATGTGAGGGCCGCCGCTGGGGCCTCCAGTGGAACTCCCTTTGGCTCCCCGAAACATGATGCTGCTGCGGGGTGGGTGCCAGGATGGGTGGCGGAGACGCATGTAAGCGCCGCTACTGGGGCCTTCGGTGGAGCTCCCTATGGAGCCACGAAGCGCGTGAGGGGTGTACTGAGATGTGTGGCGGGGACGCATGTGGGCGCCGCCACTGGTGCCTTCGGTGCAGCTCCCTATGGGGCCACGAAACGTGTGAGGGGGGTGCCGAATTGGGTGCGGGTGGTGACGCATGCGGGCGGTGCCATTGGGGCCTTCGGTGGAGCTCCCTATCGGGCCACGAAACCTGTTGTTGTGAGGGGCGTGCCGGGATGGGTGGCGGGGAAGAGTGAGAGCGCGGCCGCTGGGGCTTTCGGTGGAGCTCCCTATGGGGCCACGGAACGTGTGATGGGTGTCCCGAATGGGGTGGGTGTGGGTGACGCATGTGAGCGCCGCCACTGGGACCTCTGGTGGGTGATGGGGCCACGAAACTTGTGACGGATGTGCCGAATTGGGCGTGCGGGACGCATGCGCATGTGAGCGCCGCCACTGGGGCCTTCGGTGGAGCTCCCTATGGGGCCACGAAACGTGTGAGGGGTGTGCCGACTTGGGTGTGCGGGACGCATGCGGGCGGCAGCACTGGGGCCTTCGGCGGAGCTCCTTATGGGGCCACGGAACGTGTGAGGGGTGTGCCGAATTGGGTGTGCGTGACGCATGCGGGCGGCAGAACTGGGGCCTTCGGCGGAGTTCCTATGGGGCCACGAAACGTGTGAGGGGTGTGCCGAATTGGGTGTGGGTGACGCATGCGGGCGGCAGCACTGGGGCCTTCGGCGGAGCTCCTATGGGGCCACGAAACGTGTGAGGGGTGTGCCGAATTGGGTGTGCGGTGACGCATGCGGGCGGCAGCACTGGGGCCTTCGGCGGAGCTCCTATGGGGCCACGAAAACGTGGGGACGTGAGGGTGTGCCGAATTGGGTGTGCGTGGACGCATGCGGGCGGCAGCACTGGGGCCGTCGGCGGAGCTCCTATGGGGCCACGAAACGTGTGAGGGGTGTGCCGAATTGGGTGTGGGTGACGCATGCGGGCGGCAGCACTGGGGCCTTCGGTGGAGCTCCCTATGGGGCCACGAAACGTGTGAGGGGTGTG